CATTTTGCGATCCATTTCTATACATAAATATTATGATCTGATTATTTGCCTAGGTCGGCAAACGGATCACGGATCACGTGATAATTAGGTGCAATCAATGAGAGTTAGTGTCAAAAAGTCATACACACTTAAGTATTTTCTGAACAGAATCCTTAACATAAAAAGGAATAGTTATATTTATTTCTCTGTGTGCGGCAAGACGTGTTCCATATTGTTAATGAAGTCTGTGGGCAAATTGTCTTCATTAAAAATAGAATACCTAATAGATTTTTTTTTTATTTCTAGTAACAAAACCTCCCAACACAGAATTTAGAGCAGGTAGATCTGACCCGGATCGTGTCAAAACCTAAATTTAAATTACTCTTATATATTAAATTTGCGAATTTTTCATACATCGTTATCAAATATAAAAAAAGAACAATTAATATCAAATTTACCACTACTATGAATCGCAATACTTCCCATAAAAATCGGCACACGACATCTTTCGTTACGCATAAACATAGTTATCACGTTCGACATAACCCCCTAATATTCTCTATTCAAATTTCAACCTTAACGGCTCAGGAATTAAGTTTTTATTTTGTCGTTTTATTTTCTAGGTTCGGAAGAAAATAGGCATAAAATAGATAAATAAGATTTACCACGGGTGTGGATTCGTATGTATCACAGGGGCGTGTTCGGCGCGTGCTCTCAGTTATTCAAGTTTTCCCGTGACTATTTCAATTATGACTAAATTGGTTGTTAGTCGAATTTCGATGGTAGTGGTCGTAAAACATGGGCCAGGATTATTATAAATAGAAATAAAATGGTGTGCAGTTCTTATTTTAAAAATTTCAATGTTTTTAATATTATTATAATATTTACCGATTATTGGTTGTTACTGGCTGATTGGAAAAATAATAGACAGAGAGCTGATTTTACAATAGCCAGATACATGTTACCTAAGGAATAAAATTGTTGCTGTCACTGTTTTATACAAACATTCTGACGCGACAACATCATAATTATTCAACAGGTAACTTTTATCTAACCATTGAAAAATCAGCCCAGAATTAAAGTAAGATTCATATAAAAATATTTTGATATTTTGGGCGGCAAATATGTCTACGGCTCAATAGGTGTCACTCAAAGACAATGCCATAGGAATTGCAAGGGAATTGGCGGCTTTTAGGAATTAAAGATTAGATAGAACTGAAAATTAGGTTCCCGTAAAATCATCAATTAGTTGGGTTTTCTGTAAAACTAGGTATAAAGGGGCAAAGCGGCCAATAAAATAACTGATCGAAATTCAAATACATAATATAGACGTACTAGAAAACAGTTTACAAAATAACGTTCTAATAATTTAAACATAACGGTCGGTATGACTCGGCAACTTTATCGTATTAACTCAGCTTGACAATAACGTGGCAACTAAACGTAAAACCATTTTACACCTAGACCGTAATAAGGTCGTGCACTTAGAATAATGATACAACTTTCTCTGCATTCAGTTAGACTACATACTCTCTGATCGTATACTAGTACCTACATCCACGACTTAACCAATAAAAGCTCCACAAAAGCGCCTTACGAAATAATTATTAACAGAAAAACCACAAAAAACTCAACGAAATTAGTTCCCGATGACAGTCAAAAAATATATGTATATTTTTTTGTAGGTTATGTTTACAAAAAACTATTTCCAAGCGCCATGGTCGACGCGCGGTCCCTTTTCGCCCAGCAGGACACCGGTCGGACCGACTTTTGGTACTAAATTTCTGTGTGGCATATTTATTCGGTCCTGAGATTATTTTCTACTAGGATTTTATGATAATCGGGCTCTCTAACTGCCTAATGAATTACGTTGGTGTGTTCGGCACGTTAAACAACAAGGGTGACAAAAATGTCTGTTCGTGCATTCCTGATAAGCATCTTGTCGTGTTCATACAGCGATTAGAGCCCAATTATTGGTTGAAAATGTCGATGTTTCTCATATTTTTTTCTTGTTTTATGGCATTTTTTTAAATGTCAGCTTCTAATATTTTAGTTAACGTCTTGTTAGGGACCATGCATGACCATGTTTTGGTTTTAATGAGCGCAAACTTTTCTAAGTTAACGGTTAAAAGTGACGCTTGAGCAGATATAATTATTTTATAACTTAGGTATTTGTATTGAGTAGTTTTTTATTTGTATTATCATTAAATAATGTTACGGTAACCTAAATAATATTTAGCTTTTGCTTCATTAAGTAATAGCTGCTATGGTAAAGTTTTTTAATGACATTTGTTTATGACATTGTTTCAAAAATAATAGATAAATCAATCTGCATAAAAAATATTTTAACATTTCTATAGAATGTATTGTTAACAAAATCATCTTTACATTAATTGGTTTTAAGGTAGATTTGTTTTTTTCATTTGACTAGCAAACTTTTGAGTAATTAGTATGCCATTTGACGTAAGAACATTCTGCCATCAGAATATGTTGCGATCTTATCCAAATTCATTAAAAAATATCGTATTTGACATTTCAATAAAATTATAACATTTGTCTAATTTAAAACGCCAATCTTCTGTTTTCAAAAAAGTAAAAAGGCTTTAAATTACTTTACTGATGTTTGATTTGTATTTTATTTATTTCATATTTTATGTACTTACACACAAACAGCACAGAGGAAAATACATAAATAAAATAAGAGTAGGTACATAGGTGCTACTTATTCCTGTTGGAATTTCTTCCAGTAGACCTGCTGTTTTAATGTAATTAATGCAATGAAACTGTTTTAATCTTATCACGTTTATTTGAATAGCTATAGAATACATATGTTTCTATCCTCGTCATTTTGAGCATGACATCTTTGATGTGTCATTTGTTTTTCAAATTGCAATGCCGTTACTAAACGTTTCTCCACTTTTCGTAAAGCTTCCTCTTAAATCACTCTATCTACTATTATTTGAAAACAACGCATCAAAATCTGTTGCGTAGTTTTAAAGATTTAATCAAACATATGGATGTAGGGACAGAGAAAATTTTGTTTTATATATAGGATTATCAATTTCTATGAACTTCACACAGGCCTCATGCAATATTTAAGAAAGTACCAATGCTGATAAAATGTATGGGCAAAAATCTTTTTTAGATTTTTTATGAACATTCCTTACACTTCAACTGCTATCCTGCTTGTTGGGACATCTTCAGATCCACATCATGGATCTAAAATTCAATATAATATGTACATACTGGATAAACCCTAACCCAGAACGCAAAAGCCCTCGCCGACAGTCCTACAAGTAAGAATTTCCTTTATATTTTTCCCAATATTCAAATTTAAAACAGTCAGTGTAACATCCAAACTCACAATAATTACTGGGAATGAGAAGTGATGTCCGTGCAGGGTCAAGCGACGTTGCGCCATCATCCATCATCCAAGTCATTGATGGATGATGTGTACCAAAGATAATTATTGATAGCGTATTGATGTACTGCCGGGTATTAGGGGTAATTTTTATCACTGTACTTTGTTATTTTTACACTTCAGTATAAAAAAAACATGTCTTATTAATTTTCCAATGTTTTGTTTTCATGATGATTACTGAGTAACAAAATAAAAAAAAACTATTTAGTCCCTTAGTTAATTAAATGGAAACATATAAGGTACACAAGTTTTTTTTATTGAGATAGGTCGGCCAACGAGCAGACGAATTACCTGATGGTAAGCAATCGTCGCCGCCCATGGCCACCGGCAACACCAAAGGAGTTACAAGTGCTTTACTGGCCTTTTGGGGATCAGGGTTTCAGAGATTTAGGGATTGGGGAGGAGAAGGATTGGGCCTCCAGTAGCCTTACATGACAAAACACAACGCTGTTTTTGCGGCACGCCGGTTTTCTGTACAGCTTTGATAGCACTCTGGTCGAGCTGTATGATGAATCCCATTCGTGCCGAAGCTTGGCTCTCCCACACTTATTACTTAGATAAAACGATTTAAAGTTCACTATGCCCATGTCCCCGCAAAGTATTTAATGCTTTTTTATAACTCCTTTTCTTTCATATCATTTAGTCAAACTCTTATTTGGATCATGTTCCAAATTGAAGAAAAAGTAAGGAATCAAATTCTGATATTCATTTTAATACAAAAACAATAGGCGTTTACATTTTTACAAATACTTATTAAAAATACAGTAGGTACTTTCTTGCTTTACCAACTTCCCAATCTCACAGAGATTCCCAAACAACAGTTATCAAACCTCTTTCGAACATAAACACATAACGGCCTCTTTTAATTTCGGAACCTTAGCTGACCAAAAGGTTGCCATCACAAAAAAATCTCCCATAAATTACGTAATTTATTCGTAAAATGGACGGGTTAACGTGCTTCGTGTAATATTATAATAGTGTATGGTGCTTTGGCGGTACCGCTTCCTAGCTATTAAAGAGTCTAGATAGTAAATGTCGGTGTAAACTAAACTAAATATGCTCATTTTGAATGTTTAATAGTATTTTGAAGTGTTCGAACAAGATTCTGTGAGACGAGATTTGCGTTATGTGAATATCTTTTTATTTGACACCTCTTTTCGAGTTTGAGGTTGACTCATTATTTGTATTTTGATTTGGATTAGTTTTTTTTATTTGTAAAAAAAAATATTTTCATTAAATTTCGTTCGTGCTAGCGTTGTTGGATTAAGTATATATTTAATACTCAATATCTAACCTGACCCTGTAGGGCACAGCAAAATAAGGCAACAAGAGAGAGGAAGCTCTGTTTTAGTATCTTAAAATAGCTTAAATCTATTTAAATTATTCTTATTATTTTAATTTTAAAAGAATATTATTATACAAATGCCAGATTGAAAAAAGTATTCCTTATTTTATTTTATTTTCTCATTTTAATTAAGGTATGGCAATTGCTACTGGGGGTATACCTACATAATATGGAACCCTGTTCTTTGAGGAGGAAAATCATCAAGTGTCTTTTCGCCCGGGGTGAGGCGAGAGGGGAGTATCAGACACTTACTGACTAAAAACCATCCCGTTCCATCGCCTGCTCCAGGTCGAGGCCGCTGTACCTTAAGGAATCTTGGATCTGCTCTTTGATGCAAACAAGGTTCTAGTTTATTCGAATTATCACTACTTATTACATGAAATATAAACTAATAATACTGTTATTGGAAGAGCCATGCTTCGGCACGAATGGGTCGGCTCGACCGGAGTGATACCACGGCTTCACAGAAGACCGGCGTGAAACAACCACAGCGTTGTGTTTCGCCGTGAGAGTGAGGTTACCGGAGGCCCAATCCTTCCCCGCTCCCAATCCCTCCTGAATCCCTAAATCTCCAAATCCCTAATCCCTAAAAGGTCGGCCACGCACTCGTAACTCCTCCGTTGCGGGTGTCCATGGGCGGCGCTGATTGCTTACCATCAGGTAGTCCGTCTGCTCGTTTGCCGACCAATTACATAAAAAAAAAACTAAACTAAATTTACACAAACAATATTTTAAAATTTGAGTCTTAAGCAAACTAAGTAAGGTTTCAATTCATAATTCATGCATCATTTCAAGTAGCTACTCTGTTAATTACCCGCTTATTATCAACAAAGCCCTGAGGCGTCGTTTTGTAACAATAGTCTCAAATATTTATACAGCTAATAGAGAAATGTTTGAAGCAATTACTTGAATCAACTTTAGTACGTAAATTCTCGGGAAATTGTTGATAATTATATGATTTTTTCTTCACAGTCATACGTTATGTGTAGCTTACGGCTTTATTATGTTAGTAATAATAGCTTGGAGCAATTAAATGACTTCTCCCGCCCAGGGTGATGCGAGTCAAACTCTTACTGACTAAATACACCCCCGTTCCTTTTCCTACTTTGGGCCGAGGCCGCGCTACCTCATTACGCTTACCCCGCAACCCTGGCTGGGCATCAGCCCTATAGTATAGGGTCCCGTTTGGGGCGGTTTATTGATTCTTTGAGGCGCGCGCTGAATGATACGCTTGCAGGAAATCGTCTCTCGATCCCCGACTCCCGCAGTGTCCCTCTCGCGCTCCGCTCCCTTCTTTGTGAGCATTACTGCTTCGCCGAAAGAGGAGACGACTTCCCTCGGCCACCGTATGCTCCACCGTGTCCTCTCCTCGTCCATTTCTGTTGTATTGCTCTTGAAAGGTCATTTATATATATTAAAAATAGTAACGGACCCAGCATGCTGCCTTGTGGTACGCCTTATTTAACATTTTAGAATGCGGATATGTAGGACGTCTCTAATTTAGTTTTAAGAGATATTCAGTCTACCCAAAGGTAGACGAAAAGAATGTCCATTGCTTTAAGCCTGCCTTATGCACAATTTTGGTTGTGCATGAAGTTTAAATAAATAGATATTCTACAAAGTTCAGTACATTGATACCTATAACTTAAGTAGGATTCTAGAAGGTTAAGGACCTCTGAATCTAAAGTTCTTGTTTGTTTATCAGAAATGAACAAAAAACGCAATGACGTGTCCATAATGTTTATTACAAGGTTTTCATTTTTATAACTTATCGATTGTCATAGTGCTAATAGTATCTTCTTTAAATTCTTCAGACTTTGAGATCTTTGCCGTCGATTTTTTTGTCGTTTCTTCATTTTTTTTCGTTGCCTTAGCATGTGGTGACTCAAAATTCTTTTCGATTCCTCTAGCAGTCTTTTTATACGGCGGACCTGTAGGAGTATAGGGTTCAGGAGTTGAGTACATAGAAGTTGATGAATCATAACAAATTTCACAACCTTCCTCTTTTGCTTTTTGTTTTTGTTTTTTATCTTTTGGGTTCTTTGCCTTTTCTCCCTTCTTCGGTGCTTTTTTATCTTTTCCTTTCTTTGCTTTTAGTTCATTGTCGGCTGTTTTCTTATCATCTATTTTAATTTCTTTTGCTTTCGTATCTTCTTCTTTATTTTCTATTATTTGCTTATCTACACCTTTCTTATTTTCTATTTTCGATTCTGGTTCCTTCGTTTCTTCTTCTTTTTTACTGTCTAATTCCTTATCTAGTTTAGCTTTTTCTACATTCTTAAGTTCTGCAAAAACTTTTTCTGATTCATTTTCTTTTGTTTGCTTATTTATTGGTTTGTCATCTTCTGATTGCTTATCTTTTAATTTCTTGTCTTCTTTTATATTTTCGTTTGCCTTTATATATTCTGATTGCTTATCTGTTAATTTCTTGCCGTCTATTTTATTTTCTTCTACTTTTATTTTTTGGGGGTCCTTTTCTTTGATGTCTTCGGCTCTCTGCATTTCTTCATGCTTAGCATCTGTTTCTAATATATTATCTCTTATTATATTCGTGGAATTATCAGATTTGTTAAATGATGCGTTGTTAATATCAATTGTTTCATTTGCATCTATTTCACTCAAATCTTCAATAGACAACATTTTATTTTTTATTTTAGTTGGATCTGGTTTAGGATCATTCCATAATTCAGGCTCTATTTTTATGCAACTCGGATCCACATTTTTCTCACTAAATATTTTTTTACTGTTATCTGGATTTTCTTTTTCATTTGTGCTCTTTTTTTCATTTGTTTCTTCTGATTCTTCTTCATCGCTAGTTTGGACTTCATTTAATATTTCATTTTGTTCTTTGTTTTCCTTAGGGTAGTGCCAATAGTTTTTTTCATCGTCTTCTGGTATAGGAACCCATTCGTGGCCTTGGTACAGATAGGATTTACCTCGTCGCCCTCTGTAACCAAGCCTTGCTGCCTCTTCCGCTAGTCTGTTCTTTGGTGGCACATGATTTATTCTTGCCATTGCAAACATAGTTTCATCCTGTGAAAATTTAAGCATTTTTATTTCTACTTTATTTATTTTAAGCGCATATATAATTTTTAGTTTGTATAGTCACTGTACTGAGGCACAATCTATCTATGAAGAATAGCGACTTAGTCACCGAATTAATTGTCTGAATTAAATTAACCTCGCGACGTTGCTTTTTAATAAGAGTCCCATTGTGTCTTGAAATTAGTAAAGCCTTGCTCGGTGAATTCATGTGAGTAATTCGTATTTTCGATAATTTTAAATATGTACATGTTAGGTTTGGGTTGGTGAAATAAAACTAAGTTTATTTATCAAATAGCAGAAGTGGAATTTAAAGTCTGAAGGCATAAGCAGAACAGAATTAGGGCGAGATGCAAACATCTCAACAACAAACCATAGGACTCGAGTTTGAGGTAAAACTAGCGTGTAGCTATTATACATATCTACAGGGTAGAATATTGAAGGAGGTGAATATTCAAGGACCCAATTCTGGTGTTCAAATAAAACAACTTTTTCCATAAGACCAATATGAGAATCTCAAAAAATGTTTTTACTTCTCCATACCAATAAATACAAAAAACATCCAAAATAAAAAATACATCCATACAAATACTGTTGCAATTTGCCGGGGTTGTGGGTTACGCACAATGAGTCGCCGCAACCTCGGCCCAGAGCAGGAGAATTAACGGGGAGGTTTTTAGTCAGTAAGAGTCTGACACTCTCTCTTTCCTTGCCCTGGGCGGGAGAAGTCATTCGATGATGATTGATTTTCCCCTTGCAAAAATAGCTGTTGCGATTTGTATTTGTAAAAACTAATTTATTTTTGAGATTTCAATATTGGTCTCATGAAAAATATTGTTGTAATTGATCACCAAAATCGACTCCTTAAATCTCCTGCATTTTGTAATAAAAAATCTAGGTACTTACAAGGCAATCCATGAAGCCAATTAGTCGATTGTCTCCTGTTTGCTTCAAGCGCACGTCTCGGGGAGTTATTTTATGTGGGCCAGTTACTGAAAATAAAATAATAAGTATTTATCAATTTAATTATTTGTTATATTATGTAAATTATCATTGAAAATATTTCGTCTGTATAGTCGTAGGACTTGCAAACGCGAACCAATTTTGTCGCCTGACCCACATTTTTTTTATGTTACCGGCTTTTGGGATACAGTAATCTTGTGTCACGGTGGTTTTCTGTATGGCCGGTCTAGACGACCCTATTTAAATGATCAAAATCAGCCTAACATTTTGGTAGAATTTAGCGATATCTTGCAAGTGTGTTTCTCTCTGGGAGTAAATTTTTTTTTATGGAATAAGTCGGCAAACGAGCAGACGGATTACCCCGCAACACCAAAGGAGTTACGAGTGCGTTGCCGGCCTTTTGGGGATAGGGGTTGCGGATATAAGGATTGGGAAGGGATAGGGGAAGGGGAGGGATTGGGCCTCCGGTAACCTCACTCACACGGCGAAACACAACGCTGTGGGTTGTTTCGCCGTGTGAGTGAATAGAGAGAGAAATTATGTAAATAATTACCTTTATACAAGGGATATCGCCAATACTCCCCCCTGTCGTCTCGTTCCACTAGTAGACTGGTCTCTTTCCTTTGGTCTTCCATCAATATCTGTCGTGCTGACCACATTACGGGCAAAATTGTGTTCCCATCCAGTATTTTCTTCAAATGTTTGGTATGCTTTAATAAAAAAATTGATATTGCTTTAAATTTGTGCTGCTTATATTACAAGTAGATAGCGTTTCAGGGTTTCTGTCTGCTTCTGTAGGTCTAACTCCTATAGTTTGTGAATTATCATTTTTAATAGGCGTATAAATATTAACTATTGTCCATACAAACTTACTTAAATATTTTTTTATAAAAATTTGATCCGAATTACAAGAGCCAAAGTACATGTACAAAACATAGCATATTCAATAATAAAAGACGATAATAATACTCACATTGGCCGTAGGGAAAGTGAAAATGTAAGTCGTCAAAGGTTGCGGCGAAGCCCAATAGAAGAATACAAACCATTTCTCATTGAGAACAGAATAAGGATTGAATCGTCCATTCTTTGCAAACTCTGTACAATTAGTTGTATCATCGAAGGACATTCCACTAGGACCGTGTCTTGTTTTCACCTTTTTTGCACTATTTATACTAACTGCACACAACATGACTATTAATATTAAATTTAAATTCACACAAACAAACATAGCAATATTTCAATTTATTTGTAGTATTAACTTGCCAAAAAACTCTCTCTTCGAAACTCTCGCACTTTTATCAAGATCTTCAAATGAAGTAAATGTCGTATCAACATCTTGACCGTTCTTTATATTCAAAACGGAGGATGTTTCTGTGCGATCTGTTTGATCATCTTACGTTTGTGTTGCATTTTTCAGACCAATTTCGACGAAATTGCGACAAACTTCCTCTCATTGTGGAGAAATTCCGTATTGTAACGGGTGTTGTTGGTAGATTAAGACGAATTAAGTGTATCATTATAAATAAATATCGTTCACATACTGACGCAAATCAAATATACTCAATTAGTAGTTTACACTAGTGGAACGTCTACTCGCTCTGGCCTGCATTAGAATAGGGTTCATTAACTGTAATAAATTTCTCCTGTTCTTCCTTCATTTCTGCTTCCTTGACCATTTTTATATTTTCTCTTTCTCCTTCATAATCTCTCCAAATCGGTCTACCAATACCTTCGAATTTGATTGTTGCTGCTTCTGCTTTCATCTCCTTATAAACAGTAGGCTGCCGACCTGATACCGCCATTAACATCGCAAAGTGCTCTTCACAAAACATCATTGCTAAATAGGGATCTTCTATTTTCAATCGTAAACTCAGAGATGGGATTTTTATTACCTCCTCTATAGCAAAAAAAAATCTTAGATTAGAGCAAGACTATTGTGACCATCAGTAAATGATATGTCTGATACTAGTTTCATTTGTATTATGAAATTTTTGTTCTCTAATTCTAAGCTTGGACTTGGATTATGGTTATAGATAAGCAAGTTTAGTTGTTTATTGCGCAACTACATAAAGAGTTTAGCATTATCAATGAGGGATGATCAGGTACGTAAGTAGGATACTTACTGTTTGCGGATTTTGGTATGTCGTTCTTCACTATAGCGTCAAACAGCCCTCTCTTGTCCGCCGCTACCAACAGCATTTCATTCATACCCTTCATCAGAAGCTTAGGCTTAGACCAATCAATAGTTTTGTTCAAAAACTCGTTGTACTTTGAAAAATATTCATTGACTATCTGCAACGTAAGAGTCGTCATTAAAAACGATCTTGAAGTTAGGAGCTGTAAAATTTAATTAAAACCTCATCTGATGTCTTAAAATTATTTGAACTCACCTTTTTTGTTGGATACATAAACACATGTTCTATAGAGTAAGCGATATTATCAGTGGTCCAAATATAAAATGGAGTCCATTTGACATTAACAATGTCTTTGTGTGAAAATATTGCTCCAACAGCAAACTGGTCACATGTTGTCCAGTTTACTTGTGATTCTGGTTTATCTTTTTGTAGCTGGAAAGATGTTTTAGAAAAAGAACTTAACTTTTCACTTAGAGTTGGTGGTGCTGGCACTCGTGATGGGTGGCTACGACGGAACGATTCGTCTTTCCTTCTAACAGCATGTTGGAATTTTGGCGGCATCTGTGCGTTTCTCATTTGCATTGCCGCGAAATTGTACCACTTCAGTTGCGTCTCATTCGTCACAGGCGGTGGGCTTAAATTCATTTCCCTCAAAAATTTCTCTTTTGCAGTCGCAAACTTGTTCGTTATTTCCGGATTTATAAATGCAATATTTTTTCTCCCTAGTTTCAATAATTCCTTTTCATCCTCTCCAATTCTAGGCATTCTCATCCTTAGTTCTAGAGCATCTATTGGTTGTTTTGCTGATGAGTAGGGATCTCCGAAACCGTCAAGGAAGATGTGTCCAAAAGGAACTGGTTCCACAAAAGGTTCTGGATAAACGTCTACTTTCCTCTGTATGGGTGATGGAGCTTCATCGTCGTAGATGGTATCAGGCTGCCTAGCTTCTGATAAAACAAAAAAGACAATGCACGTAAAAACATGCATTTTCCCTGAAATGCGTGGTTTATGAAACCTTACCGTTTTATAACTATTGTAGAGATACAGGGGTGTGCAACATTTTTAAGAAATTCTTTGACATTGTTGTTTTATACGATATACAGGTTACAGTTACAAAATGAACATTGACATTTTGAGAACAATGAACGAGAAACAAAATGTACTTAAAAATTGCGTTTTTTTTTTGGTGATGATTGGAGCACCAATGTGTCTTTTACCTGAAGAATATGCTAAGGTTTCCACCCGCATGCATGAAATGCGAGTGCCCTCACCACCAAGCCAAAAAGGCAAAACAAGACTATAGCCAACCATCACGCTAGAAAAGATAATTTTTTAAGAAAAAGAAATAATTACATTTTGGAACTTTGAAATGTATGTATTTTATTTTTGTAAATACGTCATACTTTTTATACATCAACTTTATTTAAAACAATCTAAATGATTCGAAATCTGACATTTAACGTCTCACTTCTTTTAACAGAGATTCCAAAACACTCATAGGTAAGTCTCTTTTAAAGTCCAGACAAATTTAAAAATATAATTGTGGGAGGACCGTGAAAGTTTATTCTGTAGTGGTCTTTTGAGGAAAGAATCACGCTAGTTTAAGTGGACCCGTTCTGACGGCAGACACTCAAGTGTCAGTTTACAACCAACTCAAATAAGGGTTGTTGCTGAATTGTCCAATGAATAATACAGACCAAAAGAACATATGTCAAAGTTTTTTTTTTATCTTTTAGCATTGCAAATGTTGACCAGCCCAGCATTTATAAAACAAATCGTTGGTATCGATTTCACCTTCCGTGTGCTATGAACAATGTTGTACTTCTATTGTTGATACATGCCACAACTGCGAATTATGTTTCAACTAGCTTCCGACTGCAGTTTCGCCCGCATGGCGTGTTGATCAAAAGCAGCCTTTATGTTAATACAGGGTCTCACCGTGGCAAGCGCTATAAGGGACCACGGCCTGAGCCCAGAGCAGGAGAAGGAACAGGGGGGTTTTAGTCAGTTCTGGCAAGAGGGAGTCTGACACTCCTTCTGTCTTCACCAGGGCGAGAAGAAATAACAGACATACTTACATCCATAAATTCTCAAGGTAAATTGATATCAACATCAACAATTCGATATTTCAAACTTCTTTCAGTAACGAGCAGACAATATTTATTTGGTAGTAGAAAAAAAATATAAAAAACGTCTCAAATAGTTTTATTACATCATTGTGTTATAAATTTCGGGTGACATATAAAATTGTCATCATCATCATCATCATCATCAGCCTGTTGTCGTCCACTGCTGGACATAGGCCTCCCCAATTGCACGCCACTGAGCTCGATGTTCAGCTCTTCTCATCCAACCACTGCCAGCCACCCTGCGGATGTCGTCAGTCCACCTAGCTGGAGGGCGCCCTACACTACGTTTGCCTAGACGTGGTCTCCACTCTAGAACACGTTTACTCCATCGGTCATCGGTTCTTCGACATTCTAAAATTGTCATAAATAACGTTTAATGTTTTACTCATTAAACTGTTGACGAAATAACGCGACTGATTTCAAGGCACGTTAGGTGCTTCATTCGTGAGCAGTATTGCGCGATATACGACGACGCGGCGTTTTTACCGAATCGACAACAAGCTTAGTTATCTTGGGAAACAGTTACGCGAATCAGCCGTAATTTATTTATTTCATCAAAAAATAACATAAAATTGCATTGATATTTTACATTTTGAACTCATGTTTGTATTTTAGAAAAGCTCAGACCAAAATTTTATTAGCTTTCTTTATCCTAGTTAGTCTTAAAGTAGTACGTAGTCGTGCAACATCTCCATATCCTCGTCTTCATCATCATCATCCTTGTTATAGGGCTCCGGAGGCAAGGTGGGGAAGGGAGGAACCATCGCCGTATGCGTTCTCCCAAAATCACTCCAGAATCCAAGCTTTTGGGCTTCTTCGGTCAACTAAAATTAAAGATTCAAACGTTGAAAATCAAAGCATAGGTAGGTACTCTGGGACAAAATTTTTTATTTCTAAAGACTTATAAACTTCTTTACTGAGGAACTGATCAAGCCGTCACAATTTTTAATGAAGGTTTTGGAAGGCTTTTATCGTCACTCGGGATAAAATTTACTGCTAAATACCGTAAAAGGTGGATTTTTTTTTTGAGACATGCCCGTCGCAACCTTTCAGTCCTGCTACAACTCCTGGAAGCCAGGATCTACAATAGGTACAATAATGAAAACACCGAAACACTGAAGGCCGGCGCGTCCCAGGGTCATTTATTACTGTCTTGGATCCAGCAACGAAATAAATGAGAACATATTATTTGAGGAGAAGAAAAAGCGAAATAATTTCCGCTTCTTGGCTGTGGCTTGCCGAAATACAAACACTTTGCACTGGGCTTGAAGATCGTAGCTAATCCACGAAATTGAAGAATGCTTCTGCAACCCACACCCAGAGCAGCACGTCGATTCTATAAAATTTGTTTGATTTTGAATCTTGTTCAAGTGCGAAGTGAGCGTCGAAGTGACGGGGAAATTAAATTTTAGAATGCCACTTTTAACGTCATTTCATACTTTATCTTTCAAAATGATGCTGTCAATTTAGTTCAACTCGCAAGTGTAGCGCTAGTGTACTACTACTCACGGCGGATTCAGATTCGAAGTTTAGAATGAAGTCTTACAGAATCACACTGCAGGAGAACTAACATTGTGGTTTTTAGTCAGTAAGCGTCTGACACTCCCTCTTGCTCCACACAGGGAGAACTCATTTGATGAATTTCCAAAAATAGCTGGATCTCTTACATTTTGATCTAGATTAATAGGAAAAATACCATACTTACATAATCATGATTGGGCATTTTGTCAACCGGTGCAAGTGCATAGCAAAGTCTATATTTGCAGTTGAGGAACCCCAGGTAACCTGGCTCCACTACTTTTAGAGCAAAAATCAGTTCTGGGACTCTAGGATCTGAAATTGATAATTACAACTAGTTTTTTATCATCATCTTCACCAGCCGGAAGACTTCCACTGTTGAATAAAGACCTCAATCGTACTTTCTAATTAACAATGTCTTTTTTTTTTCATAGTAAAAATCGGTGATTTGTTATCACCCATTCCTCCCCGAAAACCCTATCCCTACCCTATATATTGATATGTGCATATCAAATTTCAGCAAAATCCGTTAGAGCCTTTTCAAGCAATCAGCGCCATCTGCCGGGCTGATTTGTAAATTCAAACCATTCAGGGCGCCACTCTAATGCATACAGAAAAAATCATTTAAATCGGTTAAGCCGTTTAGGAGTTTAATGACATACACGCGTACAATAGAATTATATTGTGTATAAGAAACTAAGGAATCTAATAAAGTATTGGTGAGTACTATATCATACTATCTTCCTCTAACGATCACGATCTGGACAATAAATAGAAAATAATGCACGTGAACTTAGAGAGAAAAGGTCTACCTGCTGTTTTCAAGGCACAACGGGACTCTTAATCATGATCAACTAGTTTACAGAAGTGACTCGTTATTTCAAGAATATGTCATATGTGTGAGAATAATTATAACACAAAGATATAAACAATGTTTCGCGGTTTCAGATTTGTGCCTAGGAAGCCGATCAAGATTCATACAGAGATCAAGTAATGTAACTAATTACTCTGTTTAATATTATACTAGGGTATTTATACATTAGAGATTAGTACCCATAAAAATGAGACGATTAATCAAAAATTTTATGAATCCTTCTTATTATATACTATATCTATTATGTATACTATACTTATTATTATATATTATTTTTCACACAATTGTTATAAGAAAGAACTTCTTCCAAAACACATAGCGTATTGTAAAATACTTATTTTAACTAAACAGAATACATTAACAAATTTTGATTTATCGTAGTGTGCAATATTAAACTGTAGGTAAGTACTAAAGTACATAGCTGTTTTTATTTACCAGGTATTAGTTCTTTATACATACATTCTCACAAAGATACTTACACTCAAAAGCAAGAGAAGGGATGAGCCTGACGATCCCTGATACATTCGTCTTCACAAGCAGAGCACTGAAGTCGATGGAAGTCTCCATGAAGAGTATAGAATCATTCCAGTTGACGGGAGGTTTTATTTCGCCGTCCAACTCCACGCGAAATCGATCAACTAGCTGTGGAAATATTTAATGTACTTGTTTTTCCCAGTAACCTTTTCCACAGTAAGAAAAAAATGTCTATATGTTAATCCAGACTACTAATCTACCTCTGTGCCAACTTTTACAATGGTCTTTTGAGTAATTCTGGTATGATTTGGAAGTATTAGCAATTGTATTTACAAATGAACATTTACCTGCTTCTGTCATCTACTAACGCTTTTGCCATCTGGTTAATAGCACTAGCTAGTCACCTTTATCTATTAGATGTTTTAGTGCAAGAGCAATTTGTTTTTACAGAGAATTTGAGAGTTTGATTTTCAGTCATGCTCATCCACAAGCGTATTGTCCCTTAGACAAATCAAGCAACTGCCACAAGCTCTAGAATTTTCACGGACGGGTTGCTTTCTTAGGAAAAACTCATAGAAGCGCCTATGAAGTGCTTATCTAGATCGCTTACTAAGGTAAATTTGCCTCTGAGCTCAATTTTTATCTTTGCAAATTTTCTAGACATATAAAAAATCAATACTCACCACTTCAGACGCCAAACTAAACTTTATATTATAACTATCTTCAAAAATAGGATTCCAAAAATAAAAGATCATCCAGTCAATATCGATAACACTTTTCGGATCGAATGTAGTATTAGCCACAAATTGTTCACAAGATGTATAATTTTCAATATTTATATTTGCATCATTGATATCTTTTAACGCTTTATTTGCTCTCACACTCAAAAACAATAGAAGAATCGTTAGAAACATTTCTAAAAACTGTTGATTCTGTATCTCTTGGAACTTTGCTGTTTTTAATATTTCGATTTTCTTTTTCGTAGTATTATAGTCCTTATTAGCATTCAGTTACTTTATCGGTTAAAAATTGGTTGCTAAAATTTCTTTTCTCTTTTAATTGTTATTTTTTCTGTATCGTCTGTACTGTACAGTTTATTAACACTCACTAAGAATTCCATCATCTCAATTTGGTTTATATAATTTCAATCTTGTTTATATTTACTGTAACTTTACACCTATAAACTGCTGATTAATTTATTACTACAAGATACATTGTCATCATTGCTTTTTCCTGTGCATCAGCATCAACAACTTAGTTGTTATTTATTGTTTTCATTACTGCTTTCTTTATACTGTTATTATTTTTATATTCAATATTTATTTGCCATCGAATGTTGTTCTGTATTTAGTGTCGAAAAGTTTTTGGGGTTGTTTACATTTATTTCAGAAGTTTATGTCTTATGCACCTTTACGATATTAATGCTAACTGTGTCTTGTTCAGTAAAAAAATGTGGAAGAAAATCGAAGAAAGACACTGCCAATCGAATGCGGTTTCCTCCCTAAGTGATTGCTATCACTGTGTGATATTGCAAGGTATTATTGGAATGACTTAATACAATCATAAGGTCTTAAATATATGGATTAGTCCACTTGCTAATAACAGTGTTCCATAATTCAATTCTAATACTAGGAAGATTTTTTTCTCTACCCAAGAGAAACCTACCCTCGTCACATAAGGGAAAGAAAATTGTTGTCAATTTAAATAAAAGATTTCATCAAATCATTCATTTATTATCACCGGTTTGTTCATCCTTGTTCCTATCAGACAGACAAGCGTGGTACCCTTCGCCAAAGTTGAGGTTGCTGACCACGCCTCCGATCTCTGCACGATAAGGCATCGCTCTAGTACGAGCTGACATCGAGGTCACTCCTATTTGACAGTCCGTCATCAACAGGTACTTGCCTCCGTGCAGCAGTTTCAAGTGGAACTTCAGAAGAGGCACTGCATTCCTGGCTGGTAATATATCTAGAATAAAATAAGTTACATGTTACTTTTTTAGAAAACTTGCTTCATTTCAGTTCTATTGATTAGTGATATTGATAAACACAAACAGTTAAAACCGTTTTTGCTTTTTTGTGTGGGTCAAATCATTAGATGCCTTCTCGCATCCCATGTAGGGCGATAAGGAGTGTCAGACTCTAACTGACTAAAAACCTCCCCCACAGATGGCGCTGTACATTATTTCGGCTGGGACTCTATGATTAAATTCTCTAATCACCAATATATCTTGACCATCTCTTTTAAAAATAAGTCCAGCAAGGCAACATGTTACAGACAGATTTATAAGGTAATTAATGGTCTGTCTATTTGTCAAGAGCAGGTAAAATTTTTGAAAAGCGTGTTCTTCATCAGCTATATAGAATTTATTGCTATATAGAAAATATTTTGACCAACATTACACCGCAAAGGTGTAAGCTGAACAATACCTTTATCCAAATGTCAAAAACGAGATCTACTTTTCTATGAAATTTGTATGAAACTCCGAATTATGACGGCATAGTATTTTGGCGTCAAATAGCTTACTTATTTCATAAAAAAAATGCTAAATATATCCAAATATAGTCTAAACCGTAAAAGGACAAAATTAAAGTTTCTCAGATTTTTTACGACTTTGTATGTTGTTACGTCGTATTATTCACGTCAAATATTATAATAGTATTTCTTTAAAATTTCTTATAAAAATACAAATACAAATTATGTCCTAAAACCAAACAATGAAATTGTAATTATATTTCTTCTTTTATATAAGGATTGAAATGAAAAGTCTAAATATTTTTTAATTGACTGAATTAAATATTCAATTCGTAGTAAAATTCTAGAACTAGGACATACATAATTATGGGATGAACTTACTCCCATCTCTAACGACGTTGGGTACTCCAGTGAACCTTCCAGCCGCGCCTTGGTCTGCAAACAACAGCATTTCATGTTTTGCTCGACCCATTGTTACCAACAATGTGGCAGCGTCCCAATAAGGTTGAGTTTCCACGTATTCATTCATGTCATTCCAAACTCTGTTGATAATCTGGAAAAAGAAATAAAGATGAATGAGTTTTTACCATTTTTAAAAAATAAAAAAAGATGAAGGTAATATATTAATCAAAGTGCATTAGTAATGTCATGGTGGCCCGGAGGTTAAGGAGCCCACTTCTCATGCATGAGGGTGTGGGTTCGAAACCTGGCAAGTACCAATGTGACTTTATCCGAGTTATATGTACTTTCTATGATTATTTAGACACCACTGACATACGGTGAAGGTAAACATCGTGAGGAAACCTGGACTTATAATTTCTAATTATAAGTTTGAAATCGCCAACCCGCATTGAGGAAGCGTGGTGATTAATGCTCTAACCTTATCCGTATGAGAAGAGTGCTTTGCTCAGCAGTAGTAAAAAAAAACAAAGGTAAAAAATTACCGGTGTCGTCGCATTCTTAAATACCATATCCATGCATTTGTCTTCCAAATTGATGTTCCATGTGTAATAAATCCTCCATGGTTTACCAGTCACCATATCAGGTTCAAAATAAGGTTCCTTAGTCAATCGTTTACATATTTCTTCACCGACCACGTAACTTTCCGGTTTTCGCACTTGGCCTACGACTATAGGTAGAATTAGAACTAGAACGCGTACTTGCTTAAGAAGATCCATCTTGGCACTAATGTCTGTTTTCAAATCGTTCCCATTATATGGCTTGTCAGTGAGAGTTTTCGTTGCCGATGTTTGTCGTAGAGCAGTTCCTTTCCCAGGCACTGAAAAATCAACATCGTCTACTATAAGATCAACTTTACAATCGTTTTGTAATGAAAACGTTGCTTCTGTGTTTACATCAGCATGTTTTTCTTTAGTATAGTGTTTAGTTTCTATAGAAGTGCCTGTGCTGTGTGAAAAAAGTTACTAGGTTTTTATTTTAATAGGTTAGTTCCGCAAGGTTCTTCAACCTTGTTGCCAGCTGGCTGTATGCGAATGCTGAAGTTCGAGTCCAGCGGTGAGCTATTGAAGAGGCTCATGTCCGGCGGGAAACGGGCTGATAATAATGATGATTAGAGCATACGTTATCACTCCACGCAGGCTATCAGCAAATTATTCCAGTACGTGAAAGTATATAGAATTTCATATTGATAACGTTTACTGCAATTATTTTCTTTTTAAGTTTGTCGACGATTTTTTTTTAGGCAATAAATAGTTCGGCAAACGGGCTGACGGATTACCTCTTTTTTGTCAGGTGAAAATCATCAAATGACTTCTCCCGCCGCCGGGTAAGGCGACAGAGAGTGTCAGCCTGCTATTGACTAAAAACCCCCCCGTTCCTTCTCCTGCTCTGGGCCAAGGCCGCGGTGACTCATTGCGCTTAACCCGCAACCCCGGCTGAAGCTGACGGATTACCTGTTGGTAAACGAACAGTGCTGCCCATGGACACCTAGCAACAGCAGAGGAGTTACGAGTGCGTTACCGACTTTTTACCCGACTATGGCAAAGCAAAAGGAGGGTTGTGATTTTTGCAGGCTCTGTATGTATGTATGTTCGTGCTCGTAACTTCTAAACTTCTTATCAGAATTCGACAAATGACACATCATTAGAAACGTCTTAATTGTCTTAATTGGCTATATGAGGTGTCACAAAATCTGATGTGGCGACCGGTAGCGGACAAAACATTCAGAGTAAAAAAAAGTTAAGATAAATATGCCTTGTTTAGTATCATTTGAATGCGCTTCACTTGTACATTTTGAATATATACTATTTTACTAGCATTTGCTTGTGACTTATTGAATGTAAGAGATATTTAAGGACTGGGGCATTTAAGCATTGAGGACGGACTCCACTCAAGTTAAACATAACGCGGGTTTCCCCTGTCCTTAATAACCAACAAAAGTTGTAACTTATTTGGTATTAAGAGTGTCGATGGGTGATACTGATTGCTTACCATCAGGTAATTCGCTTGCCAGTTTACCAGCCTACCCTATAAGAAATGTGTGTGTAATAGTATGAAGATGTGGCTATCGGAACTTTAATAGACATAACAAAATCATTTTTATCATAACTAGCCGAGATAAAAGAGCTGTCATCGATTTGTTTACATAACTACTGACTATGACACCCAGTTCTCACATACTTATGTAAATAAGGTCAAACTATTGTTTTAATATATTACAATTACATTGTGTCACTTCATTGTTCAATACTTCAGATTGTAATCTTTGAAACATGGCAAGTACTAATGTCACTTTTTCCCGACTTATATGTATAATTATAATAGTTTCTTTATATGTTTATATAGATCAGACAACAGACAAACGGTGAAGAACTACCATCATCGTGTGTAAACCTGAACTTATCACTATAACATAGAATAAAACAAAGTCGCTTTCCCTGTTCCTTTATCGCTATGTATGCTTAAATCTTTAAAACTACGCAATGGATTTTGATGCTTTTTTACTAGATAGAATTAGTGAAGAGGTTAATATATAATAAAATGTATTAAACGGTGGATTAATTAGATAGTACCTATCAGCAATAAATCACTGCGAAGCAGAGGTGGGTTGCTAGTAATAAGTATCAAATTATAAGTTTAAAACGCGAATCCGCCTTGAACTAGCGTGGTGATTAATACTCAAACCTTCTCCATATGAGAAGAGGCTTTTACTCAGCAGTGCGCACTTATAGGCTGATAATGTGGAGAAGGTAAATAAATAAATATTTTCCAGTGCCTACATTCAATAAGTGATCAAAGTTGGCAAACTAGCAAGTTGTAGTAAAAACAGTAAAGTTGACATAAGAATTGTAATCTCTAATTTCTTTTGCAGAAAAGGTACTATTTTATGTAAGCAGTCCAACCTAAGCATTTAGCTAATCTACGAATATTCCAACAAAAAAAAACTATAAAATTAATATTATGTTAGTAATTACATAGAACCATGAAATTCCTGCGCAGGTTGCGTGTGCTATAGCTCATTTGTTCTCCAGAAGGCGTAGCTGACCGGCCACCGATGCGTATCTCGGCATAGCTGGAATTGGTGGGCGGAATACCATTACCTTCCATTTCGACCAGTCGTTTGTACAGTGACAGAACGCAACCCAATAATGAATGCGCCGCCCATTAACGTTGATAGAAAAAAAGAACGTGTTCGAATTTGAAAAAATGTTTTGATTACAGTTCTTTGTTTTTTCTATTTTTAAAACTGTTCTTTTTAAATTTTGTAATGTTGGTAGCTGTGTTTTTTTACTGTTGGTAGTTGGTAATAAGTACTTAATTACCTATTTGTTTTTAAAAGTTGTGTATTTTTGTAAGTCGATGATAATGGATTTGTAATTGTTGTGAAATTACAAAACCTTTATAGTTTATCAAGTACATGTTTTGTATCATTTATAGGGCAAGAATATTAATAGTTTCTGCTTCGCAATTACTTACAATGTAAGTAACAGATTTTTTTTTGAGATATAGACGATTTTTAAAACGATTACAATACATACCTATGTTCAACATTAATACTTATCCAAATCGAGGCTTCTTAATAAACTCTTAGCAATTAAAACAAATAATTCGTACATGCATATGTCACTACTATCAAGTTTTTTATCATTGGCTAAACAAAACAGAAAATAATTTCAAATCCTTTCTAAACACGAGCCAACTAGAAGGCCTTTTATCTCTTCCACTAAAATAACCTCAAAGTTATGCATCTGCAGTCTAGCTTAGCAATATGGCGCATCAGATAATCTTCAGTACTTCATAGCAGGCACAGCAAGCAGAAGGCGGAACTCAGAGGCGATGGGCGTTCATGATTTATGGCACCAGAGGTCGCCAGCCACCTTCTCTTGCAAACCGGTACCTACTTGTGTTCTATGATAGCTTGGTATTTGTACTCATTTTCTATATATTTTTTTTAAATAGTTGTAGTTGTAGTGTTTTTTTTTTAAATCTTTATTTTATTAATTGTTGTAGTGTTTGTAGATTGATTATGTTTTTTCGGCGAGTTTTTTTTTTCTTCTTTAATGGTAGCTGAGTTTCGGTAAGTTGTTACCTATTTCGTGTAGACCTCACTTTTGAAACGTCAAAATTAAGAATAACCGTCATTTAGGTAATGACATTTTGAAATGAATGGCTGTCAGTCTGTAACCCCCGGTTTCCGAAAGGCCGATCAATGTTAAAATCAATTTAATCTCTTGTCAAGTCATCTGATTGGTTGACTGAATTATCAACAACCAATCAGATGACTTGACAAGAGATTTAACAGGAGATTAGTTAATTTTAGCGTTGACAAGCCTTTCAGAAACCGGGTGTTAGTCAGTGAAGCTTAGGTAAGGTTTTAGTTGACTGTCTGTCTTAGTTGACTATAGATCTCGGGACAAAATATTTTTTGTCTATCCTATAACATTGTGGTTTACTGGTATAATCTTCTGTTTAAGATCGCAATTCTGAAATGAGTGTGTTGTTTTGGATCATTTTTTCTATAATCTTTTTCTGGTTCCTATCGTAATATCGTTTTTTCCTTCTATTAAATGATGTGTAGGTACAGTACACTAAAACTATTGAACGAATCTGGATGAAATATGGCACATAGAAAATTTTCTATCACACTCCTTTTTTAATCACAATCCCAAATCTAAAATTTCTTAATAATTATTCGATCTACCAAACTTATTTGAAAACCCTTAGAACCTTAGGCTATTAAGTAGTGACTAGCAAGCACCACACGTCATTTGACTAACAGCCCTTTCATTCCCAGCCCTGGACGGAATGACGTCACAATCCTAGTGTCGTGCACATATGAACAGCACAGGGTACGAGTGAGAACAATTGGGAGCGCAGAATCGATTAGCAGTTCAAAAGCAGGGCAGACCCCAGTCAGGTGAGCCGACTTGAACACTTGCTGTCACTTGCACTACCACGCCGCGAGCGCACAACACTATAAGTCGTTAGGGCTACCACGTTTTGGATCAAACATGATTCATACTGAGGTCTATAACTCACACTATTTTTTCGCGCGATTCTCATGTATAAGAGTGTGGATGCGAAACCTGGCAAATACCAATGTGACTTTTTTCCGAGTTATATGCACTTTCTATGATTCTATAGACACCACTGACGTACGGTGCAAAAAATATCGTGAGGAAACCTGGATATATAATTTTTAATTATAGGTTTGAAATCGCCAATCCGCCTTGAGCAAGTGTAGTGACCAGTACCTTCAAACTCAAACCTTCTCCGAGTGAGAATAGGCCTTTGATCAACTTTTATGTGGTGTTTAATTTTGACAACGATGATGATAAAGATAGCGAGCTGCAAGACTCTCTTTTTCGTAAGTTCGACTTATGAAAGCCTTCCTAAGATGTGTTCTTCTATATGTAATTAAAATAGATGCACTCTGAAGTAGCATATTGTATTATGGACATAAATCTAAATGAAATACCTCTGTTACAATAATCTTACAAATAAATATAATAATTATTATAACTACTCGTCAACAGGCACTAAGGCTAAGGCCTAAGGCTCGCTTACCACCTAAATGCACTATGCCATTTGTCTATTAATACTCTACCTACCAAAATTCTGCAAAAACCTTTCCAATCTAACAAAATTAAATACCTCAAACCAAAACATAAAAACTTTCTCCGTAAAGATCATTTGATATCGTCATAAAGAAGTTATTATTCCCCATACAATTATTTCCTAAGCCTAGCAGCCCTAAACCGGTTGGAGGCGGTTCGATCGAGTTCTTGTGACGTCACTCCGCTCCGAATGGATATAAATTGGCGCGCTGCTCGATATTAATGGATGGAGGTCTCACTGTTGCTGACTTACCTATCTTGGCTACTGTTCTGCGTTGATTGACTTTTGATCCTACATAGTCGGTGCCTGTGGGCGAAGAAAAATTAGAAGTTCATTTGGTATTGATTGAGTAATCGATTGAGCATTCGGAAGCCGAATGTTGAAATTAAATCGATTTGTGTTTTGATCATTGAAGGATAGAAGTTGGGTTAAAAGATACATTCGTAGACGCTCACTCAAATAGAGTGGGTGTCGACAAATATAATTATTTTTCTGTGCTTTAAAACTCTCAATGTAAGTTCGATTATTTTTATTATGGCCAAGTAAAAATACATAAATCAAGATAAACCTTGTGTTACCATTGCCCCAAACAAGATATTGCTGGGCATTATTTTGAACGTTACGAATCCTGCTACAAACTCATGATATTTCCTTAACCAACCCCAGAATTTGCTTCACCGAAAAAAGCAATCAGTGGAACAATATTTCTCACGTTATCCACGAATAAGAAAACCCACCATTCTAATTCCCAAACCTTTAATTCCCACCCAAATTACTATCCGCAATAAAGGACTT